CTTAGAGACACATTCTCATGCATGACATCATCAGCTCCACAGAAATATGCCCTTTCTACATTTGTGTTATTGTACAGTTTAAATTCATACTATATTTTTACACTGATGAACTGAATCAATACTTGAATAAAAAATAGCCACAAATAGCTTCAAAACTAGAGAATCTGTGAAGGAGACTATTGTTTGAAATTTATCTCCATGCCATGTTGTTACACTTTTAATCCTGCCCACTTTTATACCTGTCCAATGCAGTTTCACATTTTTCTTTTTGTTCTTTTTTTTTTTCTACTAAGGACCACACCCACCTTGTTACACAGTGTTTAATTCACTGCACACCGTCAGTTTCATGTTTCCTTAACATTGAGGCAAGAGTGCTGTTTAGGTGTAATACAACAAAGGCCTGTACCTTTTCTGGCTGTCTTTTCCAGATATGGGAAGTTGTTTGCATCGCAGGACGCAACTTTGAAGAACGGCACATCCAGCTCATGAAGAAACTCCACAGCCATCTATGAATATCAAGGTAATTAAGGCACAGAGTATCATCAGTGATCTGTGATATATGTACTGTTCTACGTGTTAGTTATTTAGCTACAGTATGAAAAAGAATGTAAACACTCTATTAATTCTACATTTTCAGGACAGAATTTGAAACTTTCATTAATCTCTGATGATCTGTGCATGGTGAAATCATTATCATCATTTTTTCTACATTTTCTTCCAAGTTTTTTTTTTTTTCAGGGTTACACACACATTACCGCATCAAAAGTAATAAAACATTTAAAGTGAATGTTCCTGACAATACATAGTTATTTGCAGCTCATACCTCATCCATACCAGAGGCGGTGAGAAAGATGCCGATGTCTTCAGCATACTTTTTTAGTTCCCTGTATTGATCATGACTGAACTCCAAGTGACGCTTGTGGTCACCGTACGTTTTCCCCCAGGAATGCTTTGAATTGTAGGGGCGCTCCAAGGCTCGCTTGCTGAATTTGTACTCTAATTCACTTTTCTGGAATTTGGCACCGTCAGCACCACAGTCCTGATGAGAGAAGAGATGAGAAGAGCAACATAGTGATTTTACAGTTCAAATATTTTTTCATCATCATTCACAGGCAAACCATCACCTCCTAAATTTACCTTTGCCATCTTGATCATTTTCTTGGCAATCTCAATGTCTCCCTGGTGGTTTTGTCCAATTTCAGCAATAATGAAACATGGATCGGAGCCCCCAATCATTCTGCCAGGACACAGTTCAAACTGCAGAGGCATAGTGGCGACAGAAAGTTAACAGGCTAAAATTCTGAGTGGAGTCAAATTCACAGGTGAATCTCAAATGACGAACGCTTCCAGGTTGAGAGGAAGATGCTGTTGGGCACAATGCTATTTATAATCCTGGGGAGACCCACCTCTGCAACACCTAAATTTACATGTTATTCAGGTTTGAATACACCTACTGTTTGTTTGTTTTTCTATCCATGAAAACTAGCAGTGGTCCATTTCTTCTGCCCAGATAGATTGTTGAGGATGACTGGATGATCCTGTATCTAAATAGGTCATTTAGCAATTTCTGCCAAATTTCAGTCAGGGACCATTATTCCTCCATAAATGGTGCTGGTCTAGCATAGTGTGGAGTGGTGCCATCATTTCTACGGTTGAGCCTTTGTGGCTGTGTATATGTTGCCGCAGTTTGGAATAATCTGTGTAATCGTTTGCTGTGTGGTGTATGAATGACAGAACAGATAGAAACAGAGGCACGACTGAAGCATTTTGACGCAGTTTGTTAACCAAGCTCTGGCTGCTGGGTTGAGATTGACATGCACTTAGCTCTATCATTACTCCGGGTTTCTGGCTCGCTTTGTGTTGTGTTAGAGTGCCCCCTGTGCAGATGTGTGCAAAAAGCTAAAGTTGTATTGGTGGTATGCTACAGGGATTTCTGTCCTGCACACGTTCTCCATTCTACTATTTCACTCTTGTGCTTTGTGCAAGAAAAAAAAAGACATGCATAAGGCATGCATTTTGCTGAAGCAAAAAAAGAACTTTATTTGGCAAAGAATATATTGACATTAAAGTCATTAAGTGCCAAGTGTTTAAGTGCCAAAAAGATCATTAGTTTCAGAAGCTTTCTGGGAAGAAGTGTGGCTTTTTCAACTCATTCAACAAACCAATAATAACTGTCATGATAAGACAAACAAATAAATGGAAAATAAAATGGATCAGAACCACTATATAAAAAGTTGTGACACCACACCTACAATTGTCATGCTTGTCATGTTTTATTAAAAAGGATCATTTGTGGTCTCTGTTTCAAAGCTGACATAAACTGAGATGCTAAATGAAACACAGTACACAAAGTCAAATAGGGGGTGAGAAATGAACACAAAATGAACACAAATGCAGATGTTTAAAACAGGAATTCAATACTGACATTTGTCTTTTACTTTTTTAAGGAAGAACATTTTCTATTCATACTCCAACTGAGTCAACAATTTTGTTAACAAATATTGTTAAAAGGGAGAGGCAGAGACTTGGCGTCTCACTACTTCAATGCTGCAATCCATGCCAACCCTAAAAATATAAAACTGCACAGACATAGATCAGTATTCTATTTACAGTTTGCAATTTTGTGCAAGATTGATGAATTATGTGCAAGCTACTTTTTACATTTTAATAATATTTTTAATAAGAAATGTACACATTTCTACATGGATTGGTACCTTACACCAAGTGCAAATAAAATATACAATTATTTGTTGGATGAAAATAAAATCTCATCTATAAAATGATGTAAAAGATAGTGTTTACAACATTTTTATTCATAATATTAGATATTGGCAAATATAATTGAAATAATCCTTTGGATATCAGTTTCCAAAGTATAGTCAAGTAAAATTTATCTCTGCATCTCAAATACTTTTAAATCTGTTTAAACTTCTCCAAAAATGCCTTGTTTATAGGGATATAATGAAAATGCATAATTACAAAGTAGTGTGTAGAATAAAAATTGATTTGCCCAGAGGCCTTCTTCAATAACATATCTCACCTAAGTCTTCACCTTCTACATAATTTACTTAGGGATTATTAAAGCATTCTGATTAGGATTCTTCAGATATCAGTGCAACTAGCAGTCAGAGACTGACTGGATAACCCTGTTCTAGCCCTGTGGTATGCTTTGGATCATGAGCTGTTTCTCTCTTTTTCCAAACCTTCTTCCCATTATTCTGATCCAAGTTAACTTAGGTTTCATCTCTCAGAAATGTAAAAGTCAGAAATACCCAGGCTGTTTTAGATGTTGGTGGCAAAGTCTAACCTGGCCTTCTTGTTCTTGGTCTCAATCTTGTTCTAGACCCTCTGTATAAGCTTGATTAAAAAAAATTGGGAGAAAAAAAAAATACAGCCCCACCTCCAGAAAAATTGTCTAGATGTTGTAAAGTATTTTTCTTAACCAAGGAAAGAATGATCTCTTCCCACAGTTCAGTTATATTCTTTTGGTGTTGCTGAGCTGGCCAGTTCATTCTTTCTTTTCAAGAATCACGTCTGCCAGAATGGTGATTTGGCCAGTCTTAAATTTTTTTGTCATCATACTAAAAGGTTTTGACTTGGACAGAATGTGAAAACAAAATGTCTCTTCTTCTGTGCTTGTAGAAATTGTCGATTTGCATAACCGAGATTAAGATGCAACTTTTGCAGAAACATCTAAATTATAGTGTTTCCTTCCAATCAGGTCAATGAATTCTTAATTTATTCATTAATATGTGAACATTTTCTTCTGCTTATCCAATTTGGAAAGCATGTTATTTTCTTAATACTTCTGCAATATTTATCTTACTTGTTTTAAGTCATCATCGTTTTACAACGTCGAAACATCATCACACCACACACAAAACCTGAACCCTATCTCTAGGCCTGTAACCCTGATACATACTAATAATTACAAGTGTGACTCACTTGCAGTGTTGAACCTGGACAAACCTTATGCTGATTCAGGAACAACGCTAATTATTTCATACCAGTTATATTAGATACACCCTGTGCAAACAGTTTCATCTCCAGTGATTTTTTATCTTCAGTTGCTCTGTTACTTTAATGCATTTCTATATATATACCATATTTCTTAGATTTTCAGGGCCGAGTACAATAACTTTAGTTTTATCTGAACTTAGAAGCAGAACATTATAGGCCATATAGGTCTTTATGTCATTCTTGCAGTTTAACTAATTGGTGTGTGTTATCTGACTTCACAGTGAAAATGTATGCTATGTCTTCTAATGATACTGCCCAAGGGAAGAATGTATAATGTAAACAGAATTGGTCCCAGCACCGAACCCTGTGGAACTCCATAATTGACCTGTGAAGAGGATTCTCCATGTACATGAACAAATTGGAGTCTATTAGATAGATATGATACAAACCCACTGCAACGCAATACCTGTAATGCCTACAACGTGCTCTAATCGCTCTAATAGAACTATTCCTCTGCAGATGAGCAGTTAGCTGTTTGACAGCTACTCTTTCAAGGATTTTGAGATCAAGGGAAGGTTGGAGATTGGCCTATAATTAGCTATTACAGCTGGGTCTAGAGATGGCTTTTTAAATAAAGGTTTAACTACTGCCAGCTTGAAGGCCTGTGGTACATAGCTGATTATTAGAGATAGGTTGATCATATTTAAGATTGAAGGATTATTTAATGGCAGGACTTCTTTGAGTGGTTTTGTAGGAATGGGGTCTAAAAGACATGTTGATGGTTTGGAGGAAGTAATTATTGAAGTTAACTCAGAAAGATCAATTGGAGAAAAAGACTCAATGAATATCAATGGTACTAAAAGTAGCCACACATCTTTGAGATGATTATGAGTATTTTTTTTCTCTAATGGTTACATTATATTTGTGAAGAAGTTCATGAAGTCATTACTAGTTAACACTAAAGTAATAGTTGGCTCAGCAGTACTCTGACCTTTTTTTCTTTTTTTTTTTAGCCTGGCTTCAGTGCTAAAAAGAAACCTAGGGTTGTTCTTATTTCCTTGAATCAGTGATGAATAGTAAGATGTTCTAGCTTTAAGGAGGGCTTTCTTATAAAGCAGCAAACTATTTCTCCAGGCTAAAGGATGATCTTCTAAATTTGCGACACGCCATTTCCTCTCCAGCTTACGAGTTATCTGCTTTAGGCTACGTGTTTGAGAATTATACCACGGAGTCAGGTACTTCTGATTAGAGACCTTAGTTTTCAGCGGAGCTACAGTATCCAGAGTCGTACGTAGTGAGGAGGCAAAATTATTAACAAGATAATCAACCTCTTTTGGAGTAACGTTCAGGTAGCTGCTATGCTCTATGTTGGTACAGGGTATTGAAGATGACAACAGTAGGTGGATTATATTCTTAAACTCAGTTACAGCACTTTCAGAAAGACATCTACTGTGGTGAAATCTACTTCCCACTGCTGTGTAATCAATTATTGTAAATTTAAATGTTAGCTGGAAATGACCACACAGGAGAGGGTTTCCAGGAAACACTATTAAAGGTTCAGTTTCTATGCCATATGTTAAAACAACATCTAGAGTGTGATTAAAGTGGTGGGTGGTGTTAGAGTGAATTGTTAAATGTTGTCATTTTTATGCTTGCCAACTCTGATGAAAGGAATTCCACTGTCCTTCCCCCCCAGATTCTCAAGGTTCTGGGTGGGGGGCTGTAGTGTTTTATTGCAGATACATCCTATCTGGAAGATCTGTTTCTTGTGATATTGCTCCTGCTTTTATGACCCTTTTGTCAGCAGGAGGTAACACACACATTCTTACACACACACACACACACGTTCTTACAGAAGTTCACACATATACATACAATGCCTTGTCTTAGAACCATGTTGGCGTTGCTTTGCTGTGATGTGTTTTGTGTGAACTGTCTATTGGCGACTGTCAAGCCTTTGAGTCGCCGAGCAGCTGAATAGGGGAATAATGTTAACGCGCCCGCTGTTCAAAACATAAGTCAAAGTTCCAGATTAAAAACTTCTTTATTTGTTATCAAATCCTTAAAATCAGTAGAAAAAACAGTGATCAAAAAACATTCTAAGCTTGAGCGGTCGACTTCCCCCATCACCCACTCATTCACAAAAATTCCCTCGGCACGTGAACAGGTGATATAGCAATCACTATTACTATTACCGGCACCACGTGACCCAAAACTACGCCTATCCACAACACTGTCTCTCAATAAAAGGCAGCGGGAGGAGGCCTGATTTGGGGTCATTGTCGTGGTGGACACAGACGAGGCCTCCCTTGCGCAAGTAATCGATCGATCCTGACTGTCTTGTTTCCTTCATGATGGATAAGTCTCTAGAATTAGCGGGGCTTGTGGAAACACAAACCCAACAGGTGGGTTCTTTTACATGTTACTAAATCTACACAGCATTTAATCTGTTAGTCTACTAACAGATTAAATGCTGTGTCGAGGCTGTCATTTTTAGTATCTACATGGATGTTAAAATTGCCCAAAATAAAGATTTTTATTCGAGCTGAGCACTAAATCAGATGAAAAGTCTGAGAAATCAAACAAACTCTGTAAGGCTCAGGTGGACAATAGATGATTACAAATAAGACTGGTTTTTGAGTCTTACATCTGACTGAGGAGCAATTACAATCTGCAACTTCCACATATGAACACCCAAACCATTTTGAACAGAGTTCTAAGTAAAATAGTAAAATCTGTCAGTTGAAACTTATTCATCTTGTGAGTATGAGAATATGAGTTTGAGACTTTTACATCATTGCGTTCTGTTAACGGTGCCCCAATAATGGGGGGTTGTGTACTTTTGATAGTGTAATAGTACATAGGTGTTCATATCATTTAAGAGCAGGAAGAACGTGTTGTGACCTTATAAGGTTTTATATGACATCTGCATGATGTTGCAATTTCACAAATGTTGGAAAAAATAAGATGTTAATCAATACATTTACATTAGATGACAGTAAAAAGGAGTCTTCAATGTGGTAAAGTTCATATAAAAACATTTAATGCAAATCTGAGATTTTTTTCCCCTTAGTTTGAAGCAATATCGAGTTATACTCTGACCTCAAGATAAAAAAAATAAAAAGGTAAACAAAGACTAGATATTCAATATGAAGTTGAAGGACAGCAGAACAACACCTTTAATTTACTTTTTATTGATATTGAAATCAAATGGACATTGAACAAACATGGTCAACCAACATCTGGCTAGGATCTAGTTCTCTTTAAAACCACAAATGTCTAATTTCAGTGACATAAATGTTTTATATAATGTATATATATTGCCTTCTGTATATGTACATAGGTACACGCATCAAGTACATACACTGCTGAGGTTTAAACACACATACAAATAGGTCACATTTATTGTAATGACTGGACTTCAGTTCAGTTCCTGACTAGGAGGGGGAGAGGCTTTCAAAAGAAATGCATAGTTTAACACAATATGCCACAAGCAGGCTCTACA